CTAGTATTCCAAAGGTCGTAGGTTCGAATCCCACCGTGGCCGGGCATATTTTTCAAGCTCGCCCGGTGTGGATATGCACTCAGAGTAACATCGCAAACATATTATTCACCTGAGTACACAACACCAACACAAAAAAAGTAAATAATAGTAAAAATTAGATTCGTTAGAAAAGCTTCTTTATTTTTGCCCCCCCCCCCCGCGCAGACTCCTTGCAGAATTTCTACATTTTGGAGGACAAAAAACTTTTGGTTAATTGATTGAAATATGTCAATCTCATGTCATCTTGATCGCTAGATTTTGGCAAAATTTCAAATTTTGGACAGCTAACCCCCAGACAGCTCTATCTCAGACAATCGCGTGCAAAAATAATGAGACTTTTCACATTTTTGCACATTTTAAAGGACTTCGGCCCCCCCCCCCCCCCCTGCCCCATGACCAATGTTGGAAAAAGTGGGTTGAATTTTCTCTTTTCAGTCATCCACACAACATTGAATTGGGGGTGAGGGGGGCACTTATATAATGCGGTTGTCTCAATAATTTTTGCTCCTGATTGTAGGTTTAACCTAGGTCACACCTCGGTTTAACCTCGGTCAAACGTCGCTTTAACCTCGGTCAAACCTCGGTTCAACCTCGGTCACACCTAGGTTTAACCTCGGTCAAATCTAGGCTAGACCTATTTTAACCGCGGTATCAGACGATTACAAATTTCAAGACAAATTTACGTTTTAAAATGCCGACTCGAAATTGTCCGCGTATGCGTGAGAGAGAGAGTTATATTAATTAACCTGTATATTTAGAAGGGGAAGCCATAAAAGTTTCGAAATTAGCGGCTCCTACAACAACAGCACTTACCATGGGGATTCACAACTATAGAGCTATCATAGTCCAAACCATCGAATTCGACTTCCACTGTAGATCCTTACTTGTCACTTTAGCAAGAGGATACGATTTGCTATTCACCATAGATATCTTATATACACTAGATAGCGCATCTCTCTTAGTAAAATTGAAGCCAAGAATATTCCAGCGGTTACCCCCATTTGAAAAGATGGCGGCCATGTTGGTCGTTCCCACTTGCTAATAAACGCTTAAAAACAGCACTAACTTTCATCATTTGAATAGTTTAAAAACATATTTGGAATAGGGTTAACTTAATGTTAAGTTCCGTGTTTAAGAAATAGAAAATATACGAATCTTCTCATTTCATGGGAACGACCTGAGACTGCAATCACGGCTTCAATTTTTGAATTGCAGAATAATTAGATGCACTATCTAGTGTATGTAAGATATCTATGCTATTCACGAGTGAAATACTATCAGCAACAGTTCTTATATATTCGAAATATTCCCGACTGCTTTTGCCCGCTATTTTGCTGTTTTGAAAAGCAATGAGTCTATGGCGCGTGTCGTGCATGTAGGCGGAAATTCCTAAACAGTCATTCACGCAACCCGTAGCAACGGCTTTGGAAAACAGAGTTGACAAAATTTGAGAGAAAACCCCAAACATACAGCGATATTATTAAGAAAACAGCATATATACGGCATATATACAGCAGTATATATAGGCCACACATTGCAATACTATTTGTCAATGGAAATTTATTTTGGTAGTAGCAACAGTAAAAATTGTAATTTTTATTGAGGAGAACTCAGTTACGTTTCAATTACAAATATAAAGTCATTATTATTTTGTGTTTTCACGTGCGTGTAAGGTCGGTTCGTACCAAGTCATCTTGTACTCAATTACCTTTAAAACTCATTTTCGTTTATAAAAACATATTTGACTGAGACTGAGTGAAACATAAATTGGCTGAAAACGCGATGTCGATGACTCATCAGATGCTCAGACTCTGACACTGAAAATTACCATACCTTATATTCAATCCCATTATTATCGGGCATCATTTCTTATGAATAAACGTTTATATTTGTGTAATATTTCTCTATACGACTATCAATCAGGAGAGAACATTCTGTCCAATGTTTTTCCATAAACTATTAGCAAGAGTATACAGTATGTCAAACTTTGAAAATGAAAATTCGATGCTTTCGATATGGATACGAAACGACCAAGCTTGAGTAACGTGACCAAACGACGCGAGTGCTATTTGGCGATGACACGACCATAAGTCATAAACCTTAACTAATCATATAGTCAACGAAGCGCATTTACGAATTTGTGGCGATAGTGTAGTATGATAGTATATAACCTTGTTGACGGCAGTCACGGAAATCGGTCCACTGCAGATCGCGTGTTTGGATCTTGGAAAAAGGTACGATATATACTGTTAATAACTCCATATCCGAGTTATGAGGTTACATGGGATCAGTAAACATAGATGGATAAAATTAAGAGTCATAATCAAGAGTCGTATACGGGTATTACCGCTATGATACTGAGTATATTTTAATAAAATGCATGCATATATGCAATATGCAATATGACAACCGTGCCTGCGATTAAGCCAAGCTTTTTTTCGACATTTAAGCTACATATGTCATATAATTATAATATCCAGTGGCAGCACGCGACTGAATGTTATAATATATCATTGAAATGTGGAATTAACAATCGGCTTTCTAATATCAAAATCAATGCGCCCTTATACGGCTTTAGATTTACTACCGAAGTCATGCAGTATGGCTCATTACCGTATATATATAGAATGTATTCCGCTATACACAGCAACTACAGTTATCTAATTGGTACGTGATAACACCAGATTACTATAGTATTTAGTAATTTACTACCGCGTGTTAGCGTGTGTATGTTTTTCCCTACAAAACTAAGGATTAGTAGAATCGGAAATTTCAGATTGGTAGACTAGAATTCAAGGCACTCATGCATGCGCTTTAGATTTACTACTGCGTAACGAATACAGTATCGAATATAAGTCGGCCATTTTTTCTGCCTTTAATAGCAGTTGGCAACGATTGGCAACTAGTGGTTAAAATATACTGTATGTTCCTCAAAGGTTCTGTCATGAAAAATGTTACGAATATTTCACTGATGCTATAGGCAAAAACGCTTTGCTGGTGACGTAGTCGGATCATTTTGCTTAGCTTTTCGCAGCCTTTGCCTAAATTAGCTAATGTATATATGCTATATATAGATATGGACGCTGTGATAAAAGGTCATAAAATATGAAGCAAAAGCATTAGCGCACACAGCTATCAGTAATATATACGTATACTACATATATTTAAAGGTGCAGTAGCTTCCAAACCAAATCGAGTAGAGTCCCCACTTCTGACAATATTTTCCTAAGCCGCGTGTCTATATATTCAACATCAAAGATAACGATACAATTCTGTTCCGCAAAGAGCTCAACTGGCTAAACAAGAATAAAGAATAGACAGTCATATTCACCATGCATCGTGCACTAATTGTTACGTAAAGCATATCCTACAAATTGAGGCTGCGGGCAGGCTAGCCAGTGAACTCCATATATATCTGGAGCTGGATCGAGAACTCGAGCCCAAAAAGTGAAGCCAAGATGCGGAAATTGAAGAGGTATTGGACGTCAGTTCCTGTCACATTCTATTGTTTTTGGTCTGCGCGGTGTGCTAATATTTCGTATTTTTATTTCGATTTAACGACTAATATTATGAAAAATTGATTACCGTTACGGTCTGTTAGAACAAAGTTAACAGAATTGTGGTTATATAGAAAGAACGTTGAAAATTAGCTGGGGAAACAGTTGTATAAAAACTGTTTGCAACATCTTGATAGCTATTGGAGGTCAATTCGCCATCTTGGCTTCAATTTTCTCATAGGCCGAATGGCGGAAGTTCTTGCTCCAGATATATATAGAGTTCACTGAGACCATCACAAGAACAAGCACTTTGCGGATAAGTTTCGAAATATTTTCCGCTTAAATATTCCACTTTTTAACAATCATCGAGAAAAAGGGCCAGCAAACAGTTGTAGTCCTTTCTATACTTGTTAATAAATCGGTTCTTATACTTTTTGCTCTTAGGTTCAATGACTTTCGGAGAATTTATCAGCCCTGGTTTTGATTGCTCGGATATTATAAATAAGAATATACATGCAAAAGATGGTTTCTACTGGATTCATTTAGGTGAAATAACTCCACGAAAGGTAAAATTTTGACGCATTTATGGCAATGTTATGGTTAACTTTAATTTTACAGTCATTTCCAAACTAAGTATCTGGAACACTTTTAATATAAATTGTAAATTTGCGCCATATAAAAATGTTAATCTTATATCTTAAATTATTTTGACCCATCGATCTGCCGTGGTATAAACATTTATTTGGAGGTACATATTATCGCCATTTGTTTGATCATGGATAATAATAACTCGTGTGCAAAGCATTTACCGTTTCACTCAACGCTCATGAAAAGAAAATTGTGCATGCACTTTTTTTAAAACAATTTTCAATGTCTAAATGAGTCAATCGAGGGTAATCATCATTTCGTTACCAAACATTTAAGGTGTGGTGTGACATGACTACAGATTCTGGAGGATTTATACTGTTTGGGTATCAAAATTCTTCCGTTACATGGAATGTTCCATCTACTAATGAACCAGTGGAACCATTTCGCACACCTCGCTGGTCAAGTGTTCTGGGCAATGCTCCAATTTTGGACATTCGAGTTCAATTATCATCAAGTAAAGAATTCAAAGATACAAAGGCCGATTGGTAAGCAGTATTTATGGCTATGTTTTTACTCTTTTTCAACGCTCTCAAAATAGGCGAGTCAGTTGAAATTTATACTGTATGTGTTAACGTAATTATAGATTCACATTTTGCACTGTTTAGCTAGCCAGGTCTTGGAATGCATATATATATATATATATATACCGGGTGTCCCAAAAAAAAGTACTCCGGTTTGATTCGTAATAACTTCGAAACAAGTCAAGCTTTTAAAGAGAAATAACTTGCATCAAATAGAGGAAGCCCTAACTTAGATTTGATATATTACACTTGTGTTTCACTTAAAAATTCGCGGAGATATTAATGTTTAAAATCGGGAGCATATTTCTGGATGCGTCTGAAATATGCAAAAAACGGGGTATCAAATATTAATCAAGATTTGCCCGACTGAAACATGCACTATTACCAGTAAATAAATGACACTTGACAAATTGTTTATTATGAAACAAAGTATTGTTATCTACAAAATACAAGGAAGATTTATTCGTCCGAAATCCGTGTGTGTTCCTATAGCACAAGTACGTTTCCTTATTTCATAAGACCACTGACTGCATCGCGAAGGATCGTCATGGTCGTTCGTGTTCTGAATTAGGGGATGCTGTCACAATGGAATTGTGAAGCTCTTCTAACTTTTGCAACGTTCTGAAATCTTGTTAAGAACACTCAATGTTTTTTGCTTTTTCTTAATCTTGGCAAGTTCAGAATAAACTAAGAATGAAACACAATCAAACCATACAACTCCATAAGACATAACAAGCAACTCCCCAGAGACATCCAACATTTTTGGAACAAAACGTAACAAAATAGTAGCGTTGATACTGTGATGTGTATTTGCAAAATGCAGTATTATTTCCTTCATTAAAAAATAATATTAATCCTGCTCTAATCGAGAAATATTCAACTCTGTTTTCAACCCATGAAAAGAATAAAAAATATAGGCTATTTAAGAAAAATTTAAGCGCCTGCCTTGAATGGTCTTTCATGTACCTTTAAGTTTGTA